ATCATTTGTTTTGAATTTAAATTTTGTTTGGCATTGTTGTAAAGTATTGTTGTTACAATTCTTTTACTATTTTATTATAAAAAAAAATATTATCGGAAAATAATATCGAATGCAACATTAAATAAAGAACTAAACGAATTTTGCTATTTTTGCTTTATTGCTATGGAAAACTTATATATTATTGCTTTGTTTGTACTTATGGACCCTTTTCACATAGCATTTTATCTAAAAATATAAATGTATTATTTTTAATTAATTTTTATAAACTTTTATATATTTTCGAGATAGTAAAAGGCTAAAAAACCTACTATTATAGTATAATGCAATACAAAATTAACAAACGAAACCTATGATCAATGGACCATAACGTTAGTATCAACATCAAGTAACTAACATCATGATTAATCATGTTAGTATCATGAGTTCAAAATAAACAACAGTTCTACTTGTTGATGGATAGACTTACATACGAAGAGATAACATTTTTCAATTCCATTTTTTCATTTTATTTCAATTCCATTTTTTCATTTTATTTCAATGTTACGACTGCAATTAAAGACCTCTAAATACACAGTGGGCACTAGCTAGCACTACCACAAACGCGCTCATAGGACTTATATATAAAAATTCAAAGGTTTAGGCCTCCTCCGCTTATTATTGTTTTTATCTGCATCCCCTTTCTCACTTGACATGCTTGGCAAACCAATTCATCATATCCTCATGGGCTTCTTCTGCACTCTTTACAGCTGATTCATCCTCAACATTGTATCTGACAGTCCACCCATGTGAAACGCCAGGGAAAATTTTCACAAAGCTATCGAACTGCAAGAGGGAATTGTATTCATAGAAGTTAGTATTGTACACCAACATCTAAGAGTGCAGTTTTCAGGGTGTTCTGATTCTGAAGATTTGCTTACTTATTGATGATTTGATTTTCCATGTACTGCCCCTTCCAATATTATTGGTTTCAAAGATAAAAATCTTTTCAATTTTTTATATTGGTCAATGAAATTGTAACATTGAGATTTGACAATGAGTTCTCTTGAAAATAATAATCTGAACTTATTTTGGACCGTCTGTCATAAGATTGCCAACAAGTTTCAGAAACAGCCATGTCTTTCAATGTGCTTGTTTTAAGGCATCTTACCTCAGACTTTGTTGACAATATTTCTCCAAAATGTTTCATTTGTTCTGGTGGTGTAGAATTATCGATCTCAGCACCCAATAGAGCAGTCGGAACTTTAACCTCTGAGACAACATGCCAATTTGCCATCAGTTGCACATTTATTTGAACTTTGAAAAGAGAACACTAACCATTGTTTCTATCATTTGTAATCCAACTAGGATCCAATAAGTCTGTAGCTTGAATTCAAGAAACTTACCCTTAATTTCATCATCAGTAATCCGACCAGGATGCAATATGACTGCAGCTTGAATATCCTCAGAACTTGCTAGATTTACCAATACCTTCCCTGCACAAATGCAAGCAATCAAAATTTTTTGGCTTGATTCATATTATTATTTAGAATTGTCACATGGATAGAAAGGAGTAAAAGTTAATCACCTCCCCAACAAAAACCTGCAACCCCAACAGCAGTCACACCTTTACTTCTCAGAGCAGCAATTACTGGCTTGGCATCTTCATATCCTTTGTCCTACAAGACAGATAAATTCAGAATGATGACAAAAGTAGTTTCGAAGAGTCTTTCCAGTCTTCTTTCATTCTGCAATTTCTATTATGATGATTGAAGATGACAAGCATCCCGTCTTACTTGATCAAGTCTCCCCTACTTTCTCAAGTTAAGAATCACTGCATCCATTTCAAAAACAAGCTGTTCAAAAATTTTGCTAGTAAAGAAAGAAACTAACCGTGTTATGAACTTTTATCCATGCTTCTCGATCAAATTGAGGGTTATCGAGATTAAACGGATCACCATAGAAGAAATCAGGAACCACTACCAAGTATTCAGCAGCTGAAACCTTGTCCGCAAGTTTCCTTCAAGTGAAAGGATGTCAATACTAACTTCCTTTTCAAACGAAGATTAAATAAATATTTTTATATGTATAGTTAAATATTTAATAAAATTTATTCTAGTAAATACTGATGACTGTGGAGACCCCTACATAGTAGCTTGCCATATTAGACTTGATAGTCCAGCCCATGCGTTATTCTGGAGTAGACAATTTACTAATCACTATAATCATTAAACAATAAGTTTGGAATTGGAAGAGGGAATTGAGCAACCTATACAGATCGGGGAGGTAAGCACGAATGATTCATATCTTGATCACAAATATGAAATGAAAATCATCACCAATGCAAATTGCATGAGAGAAGGTCTACCTTCTAATTCACTACGATGCAGCACACTGTACACCATAACTAAAACCTACTCTAATCACACCAGTAGTGGAAACCAAAACAAACATGAACATATGCCGGTTGATTCACGGAATTTTTGACAGGTTATTGAGTCCAGGTTTACATTCAGTTTTCTAAGAAATTTCATATTCTAGGTAATTCAAAATATGAAAGAAGCAAAATGCTCATATCTTTTTGTTATTTTTATATGATATCTTATATCTACAAAATTCAAGCATGCTTGTGAACAGAGTGACCTTTTAGTCAAAGATGATCTCTTATTTCTTTAAAAGTTAAAAACTATTAATTCCTCATAATTTTGTTTACCAAGTATTAATACATGCTTGTTATTAATTTTTAATAATCACTGTCAGCAGGGCCTTATTGTTGAACCATAGTTAAGTAAAGATGCATCTACCTCCACCCTACTCAATCATACCCAGAGAAGAACCAATTTCTCTTTTTTCTAGTTCCATAATTATACCAAGCAATTCAATGTAATTAGAGCCAAAATGAATCCAGCCATACCTCAAATTTGGAGCTTCATAACCTGCAAAATATTTCAAACAAAACAAGTCAGTCAAACCCCCATTTTCCAAAACACCATCCAGAATCTTTGCCAGTATAGAAAAGAAAGAATACCCTTAACCAGAATCAAAAACCCAATTCAAATCAACCAAACAGAACTACATTCGAGCAATAAATACTAAGAATCAATACACATGGATGGGAAATATTGATGAACTAGAAGATGGGTCGTTACCAAAAACGTCAGCAATTAGAAGAATGGCGCGCTTGGAATCAGGAGGACCAGTTATGTAAGTGTTGAGGCCAGCGAATTCCTCAACATACCCTGCTCCACATGTTGTGGTCTTGCTTGGTGGGTTTTCGAAGCACTGAGAGCTCGACATTTTCTCACTGTAACTGAGGTCGGTGAGTGGAACGAAGAGAGTTGAGTGCAGCTGAGAAATTTGGAGGGAATCAACTTCTATTTATAGGAGAAAGAAATAACGTCACTTATTACCTAAAAAGAGAAGGAAATAACGTCACTGCTCTAGTCAGCTCGATTGAGAAAGGTTAAATGTCAAATTTTGGGTGCCTCAACTTTAGAATTTTATATCAACTAGGGTTGGATCAAGTGGTAAACGGCTTGTTCCAGCTTAAACAAGTCTCGAGTTCAAATCCTTGTGTATGCAGCAGCTTTCGCTGAGAGACTCACCCACCATTTTCAGGTGCGCGACGCGGGTCAGGTCCAGATTAGTC